AGGCTGCCTTCTGGGGTTTGGCATGTAGGAAGACACACACACACATGGCTACTATGTGATTAGGCCCGCTGCTGCTGTTGCTGCTGACTGCATCTCTTCCTCTTTTTTTTCTGTGGAGTAATTTTATAGATTCTCAAAGTCAGTGATGCCCACACACCTCAGTGGAGCATAGACCCTTTTCCAGCCTGCAGTGCCTCCCACGCCGTAGACTTTGAGTGTTTCTAAGCGCCAATCAGCGCTGGGTAGCACCACCAAAACCGCCCCCTCATCCTTGTGTTCCTTCTCTCTCACACACTGTCCTGCACTTTCACTGAGCAACCGCGGTGAAAATAACTCGCGCACGAAAGCAAAGTTTGCTCAGCAAGCAGGATTTCATCTGGAAACCTGATGCTCTAGAGCAGATAATCCAAAGAAAAAGTGCGACTAAAATGATAAATCAGTCAAAGTGAAACCAACTCCTCCACCCCCACATCCTGTCTGCAGGGTAACAGCAGCAGATATGTGCTCCTGCTACTCATTTAGCTGTCTGTACTTTGCCCTGCGTCTGTAGCAAAATAACACACTAAGAAGTAGACAACGTTTCATCTTGAGAGCAAACACGTTACCCAAGCCGTCACCTGAGATGTTCTTGTAACACAGAGATATGTGTGAATTAACTCAGTTACTAGTTTCCATTGCGTCTTCAACTCTTGCATTAGCAGGACTTTTGCAACAATGTGGAAAGATGCAGCTCCATTTTCCTTGACAGTAGTTCCCTGTCTTTATTCAATGCTTAAAACAATCCAAAGAAGAAAAAAAGGGAGAGAGTTTAATATAAACACATGATGTTGAACTATGCAGAAGGCCTTCATGTTGCCAGACAAACAGGCTTTGAAAAAAAAAGCAACATGCCGGCTGTGATGGCCTATCACTGTGCGGTGGTGCCAGGGGTGCCAGCTTGTCTGCTTGCGTAGCGTGGTGTGCTGGTAGCTCCAACCTGCTCGGAGACGGGAGGTGTACAGCATGAGCAGGGAGAACACCATGCTCCTCATCAAGAATTTTAATGCCTGCGTTCTTCCTCTTCCTTCCTGTCTCACTCAGCACGATTCAGTATGAGCAGGAAAGGCCACGCCTGTGATCTCTGCTGATGTTGTTTGGCAAACTTAGCTTAAGAGTGGGATAAAGAGATATTGGCAGGGTTTTTGCAGAACAGTAAAATGCAGAAGGTTGGAGGCAGTCTGCTTTATCTGTGTCATGTGGTGTTTAAAGTACACCAGGAAGATTGTCCATTCTTGTAAGCGCACTGTGTGAATGCGTGTGTGCAGGAAACTTCACACGGTTCACAATCTATTTGGTCTGAAACACAATAAGGAAGGAAGGAGTCCCCAGCTTTCGATGCCCCACCCACTGTTGATACCCCAGCAGTTACAGTAAATATTTGCATGGGTGAAATGAGGGAACAAGGTGTACTTCCTGTTATAAGAATAATACTGAAGCGCATGACAGGCTGGTGAGAAAAAAAAGCTTTCTACAGTTCTGTGCCGTTAGCAGTACTTTACAATTTTAAATAAGGGATTTAGCCAATATGAAAATGAGGAATGTGTTTCTGAAAAAGAAAAAGACATTCTCCCTTCAGTAAATAAAACTGAATTCAACTTATAAGCAGTGAAGCGCTCACTTCAGCTTGTGGCTAATCTTGGATAATAATTGCTTATCTAGTTCTCTGATATATCTATACCTAGGCTAGGAATGACAAGCATATAATTTAATGCATTATTAGCTGGAGGGGCGCATTATATTACCTTTACACAATGCTAGACTTCCTAGTATAGCATTGTGTAGGCCTGCAGGTCTAGTCCTGTCAGCCTGCAGGTGTGAAAAACAAAGAAAATACAGAGGTGCCAAAAACTGCACTTTCTGAAATGGCCACTTGAGTCTGGCCCCAAAACCAAGTCAATCACCAAGTAAGAAGACCCATCTTTCCAGTAGAAAACTTTATTATTACAACCTGGTTAAAACAACTCTTGTAGTTTGTGCAGTTGCTAATTTACCCTTTCATCACTATAGTGAGAGTTTAATGTTTATGTAATTCACCTGGTTAAACTGGGCTAAGGTGTACATATTTAGAGGCTGCTTTGACTAGCAGGTGACATGTTGTCTCTATAGCTACATGTCACCTGAGCTCATTTGAAGCCACTAAACCAAACCTTTTTGATTGTGTCTGTGGTGTTAATGTAATTACCTGACTGATTTAAAAAAATGAAGTTTTTTCTGTGGTTAATTGCCCTAACAGTGTTCCATCCATTTCTTCCCCCTATCCAATTCAGGGTCCTGAGGAGATTTTCCCTGCTGTCTAATGTTTGTTTTATGGGACTGCACTTGGGTAGGTATTTGCCTACGCAGAGTCTACGCAAAATGGTATGCAACCAACACAAATGCACTTGTGTGGAGTCCTTTAACAGCCTGTTAAACGAGCTGGATGACGCTATGCGTAGGTTGAACACTGGTTGGTTGAAAGAAATGGAAAACGCACGAAGAAAAGCTCAAAGAGATTTTAAAAATGTGGCATGAAAAACAAATTTCAGCTCTTTTCATGTTACAACTTTGCTCTTTTCTGTAGGTAACCACAACTAACAACAGCCCAAGCAGTAGTGGCCCACAAGCTAACTGTTTGTGACACTGCCCCCTGGGTGCTGTGCGATACTGCAAATTTTGGTATCAATCCGATACCTAATGAATAACGGTCCAGCATTTTTTATATTTTTAAATTTTATATTAAGATTTTTTCAT